TGTAATCACACTGTATATTGAACCAGGGTTTCACTTGCATTACCCACAGCAGAGCATATGATGAACACCTGGGTGCCCCTCAGTGCCTGAAGCATGCGAGATCAGTTGTCAGTCCTAGACCTAAGCTGCATTCAGTTTTTTAAACAAATAGATGAGAAGAAAATACAAGCACTTCAAAGAGCTGCACCAATCTCAAGAGGAGCCAAACGCCTAAGAGACAAATGCCAGGTAATATTCAATTCCCATGGCAAAGAAATGCAGATACATAGCTGCAACCTTTTGGATTCATTTGCAGCACTATTTAACTGTTTTTTCTCTCTCCTGCCATTTTTGGGGGAAAGGCATCAGTGTGTACATGAATACCTCTCCTTCAGATCATCCCACCTCTATGAGTGAGAAATGCATGGTCCATGCTAACCAACCGTTCATACAAAGTAGTGTTTATAATAAGCTATAAAATAATTTTTCCTAAGTTTGGTTTCCTTCCTAAAATGTAATTATTCAGATTTATCTCATATAGCTGAGGGATGTCCTAAAAGGCCCGCATTTCTCCCATCTCTGAACAAAGTTGCCAGGCAACAGACTCCTGCAGCCATATGGTAGCTTGTGAGCACATTCTAGCTGCAGCAAATTTTTATTCTTGGGGCAACTTCATGTCATACAACATACAGTGTAAAAAGAAATACTGGCATTGGGCAAAGTCTGAAGCAAAATTAGGACATTCTCCCCTCTCCCTTCTACATCATTCAGACTCCCTGATGGAAGTCTACAAATAATTTCTTCTCTAAGAAGACAATAAAACCTCCTCCTAATACATCAAGAACAGTATATACATGTTCTGTATATGTGAAAATGCTGGCAAAGTTCACAAAGGCAGAAGATAAAAGCATGAAAGCTAAATCTAACACCAGGTTCTCTACTGAACCTAAAACCTAGAAACAAAACAACATAAGGCTTCTTTCTTCTGAAATTTCCTCCCCAAATGCCTGTGATTTTTCAGTGGCATGTGAGAGGCCAGCCATTGAGACCCAATTTCTTTGCTTTGTGATTTCTGGAGCGGGAGATGTTATGCAGCAGAGAGACAGGCTTGACGGATACTCTGCGCCCAGGTGTTTAAGAGGGCTGTGACTGAATGTTTGTCTGGAAGTTGCAACAGTTTTGATGTCATGTACCGATACACTGACTGCAAAAAGGGATTGGCTGCTGGAAAAGAAAAAGGAGACAGCCCAGATAAACAACTGCAACAAAAATGAATAGTCAAATTTTAAACATTTCCTTCCCTACCCCCCCCCCCCCTTTTTTTTTTTTTTTTTTTTTTAAAGTACTACCATCCCAACATTCCCATACCATACTGTCGAGGATTGTCTATCCACAGAGGGCTCTGATCTGGATAATCTGCTGGAACACTGAGCTGCAGCGGTGGGACATTTGGAAGGTTCTTGTCATCTAGAATTCAAACATTCTCCATCAGAACATCAAAGCTTGACTTGTGTGGAGTCCTCCTTTTATACTATTCAAAACTATTCCCAAATCCTTCCCTGTCGATCCCAGCATCATTTCTGCAAAAGGAACTAGGCTGTCTGTTTTTGTTTTTGTTGAGAAAAATCTCATTTTTCACTGTAAAAATTGTCTTTACTTACCAGAATCAACTTGAAATGCCCACCTCTACGTTTCACATATGGACATCTTACCAATCTCCACCTTTTTCTGGAACTTGAGATGTCTAGGCACTTTTTATACTACTTCTATGTTGGTACCATACCACTCCCATGTTTGCTGGTAAATACTAAAATGAATCCACTTTGTCTCTCCACAGCTAAACAAAGTTCATGTGAGATTCCACTCTATGCTTATTCAGTTGAGAGAACAGATTCAAGGGCTAAATTATACTTTTTACCAACAGAACTTCTAGTGCAGGTTGAAAAAATTTTCAAGGCAATCACAAGAAAATCCTGTTTCACTAGTCCTGACTTTTTGTTTTGTTAATGCATGGAGTTAAATCATTTTCAAACAACAGGGAACAGTAAAGCTGAGGATCAGGACTTGTCAGCACTATGTCCTTTTCTAGCATAAGCTAATCAGTTTGATGACCAGCCTGCACTGGTGCAATAGACAGGTGCAGACTGCTGCACAAATGAAGAGAACCAATTATGCAACTGAATATTGTAATATTTCACACTTGGAGTTCTGCCACTGTGGCAACAATTATACAAATCCAATTAATTTCTCCTGTATTAACTCAGCAAGCTTTTTGATATACAAGAACAAAAACATAATTATGTTCATACACAGGCCACTTCAAACTGACAAGAATTCAGATTATCTAGAGACTTTTGCTTGGTTCTCAGTCTAAGGGAGACAAATGCACAAGGTGAAGAAATCTGCCAAGATTTCAGCTTACAAAAGCCACATCATAATCAGTGACTGGTTTAAAATGCTGCCTTTTTTGGTGTCAGGAATCATGGCAAAGGGGGAGCTCAGGTTCTAAGGAAAAAATTGCTTCTGGAACTACAAAGAAAAGATTTAAGTGGATCTGGTATACGACCTGAGACTGCTCCTGAACAAGCCTGTGCAGACAGTCTAAGTTTTGCATTGCCATAACCTGTCAAGGATATAAAGAGCCTTGCTAAAATTACAAGTTGCCCATGTTCTTGATTGTGTGTGACCAAGACCTCTTTACAATCCTAAAAACAAAAAGACACTTCTTTAAAACAGAGCCTTCAATTTCTTTTTGCTTACCTAACTTGCAAATGAGATGAACTGTTCCATTATTACTGCAATGGGAAGGATCCAAATTCACCAGGAATTTAGGATTTAATCTTGCAACTTCCCCTTGTAATACATTTGGTATGGTCTGTCTTTCATCCTCTTCATATTTACGCTTTCGAGGGGAAGCCACAGGGGCCCTGTGCAAAAATACATCCAAGAAAGGACTGAGTGAACATGATTCTTATGCCAACTCCACATTTTTTAAACTAAGCTGATTTCTGAGATACTTTACAGGTGAAAAGGAAAAGCACAGCACACTACACATATATCCATATCTATCCCACCTGTCCTCCCAGCAGTTCACCCAAATGAGCAATGTCACTTCAATAATCAGCATTATACAGACAGCTGTGTAACAATACATACGTGATTGGTGGGCCATGGATTGCAGTCATAGCTGGCATAAAGGTACGATAGAGGGAATGGTTGAAGACTGGTGAACGGATGTTTGCCAAGACAGCATCCAAGAGAGGCTGGCACAAGTACTGCTGTTTGGTGGGAGGCACTGG